CAAATCCCCAGTGATTCTTCTCCAATACCCACCCATATACACAATTATGCAGTGATACCCAGAAAGCCTGAACTTTTAGCTGGTACAGCCTATTACTTGATAAATGTTTTAACAACTGGTACAAAGCCCAGTTTTACTTACTTCTATTTCAGGTCCACCAACCCAACGCACAGCGGGCAGCTCATTCTGGAGCAGCAAGTGATTTGCCTCATCATCAAAACCCCACTGGCAAATGGCAAGGTTTGCACCAGTGTCTTTTATCTAAAAGAAACATAAATCATCAACCATCTGATCAGAACTAACAAAAGACTGAAAAACACTCTTCATGGTTTTAATTCTCTCAATTTTCTCAAAAGACAATTCTCAAGAAGAACCCTCTGGCACACACAGAGATCAAAACATATTTTAAACCAAGCCGGTATCTCTTTCTTACATTACATTATCTTTGATTCACAGCATTACAACTGCTTGTATGTTGCTTCCCACCAGGATTACCAGCTCATTTACAGGAATAAATCAATGCACTATGATGTTTTTTTATAAAGGCTATGAAAGAAAAAGAAATCAGAAAGAATCCTAAAGGCTACCTGCTTCACCATCTCTTCAAACTTTTCTTTTTCATATTTCTGCAGTGCCTTGTAATCATCCACAGATGTGACATCAAGCTTGTGTTTGGTTTTAGGCTTAGGTGGTTCAAATGGACAAGTAAGGATTGCAATTTTAGCATCTTTTAGCTCCTGGGAAATTAAAAAAAAAAAAAAAAAAGGATGATTTTGACCTTATTAATATATCTTTCTTGTATTTGCAAAACATACAGATGTATCTTTATAAGCACAAACATATAAGATAACGTGAAGATTTAACTTATTCTAAAGTTAACTAAATATAACTAAATAATTCTGTCAATAGTCTCAATAAACCACTTAGAACAAATTCCATAGCTCCAAGACACTGTTTAAGTCCTTAACAATCTTTACCAGTCATGCCTTTTTAGGGTTTAATGTTTAAAAAACAAAAGAAAAATTCAATTAAACCATCCCTATCCACTGTGACCAGTGAGAATACTACTTGTCTTTGTAACAACTTTTCAGCTATTACATGACTTATTTTCCACTAGTCTTCCTTTCTACAGGATAAACATTGTTACCTGCTAGATAAATATTTTAGAACAGTAGAAGTTTTCTTGAAGTACACTGCAGAAAGACTTGGAGACCTTACCTACATCAAACATAAAACAAGGACAGTTTCTGGGGTGTTCCAAACAGGACAACATGGCAATTCATAACAGTTAAGTAAGAATCTTGGCACTGCATTGCACTAAGCATATTAAGCATACCACACACCGTGGATAATTATCTCTATATAACACAGAATCCTGCACCTGTCCTCAGTTAGCAGTAGAGTAATTCCTCCCTTCCAGCACAATTTCTCCGTATTTTTGTAAATTCGGACTTCATTTCTACCAGTAAGAAAACTTTCATGTTCCTTGCCCCTTCCTCTGTTGGTCTATTGGTGAAAAGCCAAGCTAAACCACAAGACTGTGTAAATACTTAATAAACGCCAGGGCGACATTTGAGGTAGGCTAGAAACTCTTATTTAAGCCATTACACACAAGAGAAGCACAAGGACATCACTTACTTTAGGCATCTGTGGATGACTGAAATCTTTATCCACAATCACTCCTTTAACCAACTGTGTATCTTCCAGTCTACCACCCACTTTGCCTTGCACTTTGATCAGCTCAAAATCAACATCTTTACGTTCCATGTCTGCTACTGTCAGTACAGCATTCACAGCAATCTCTGCCATTTGCCGGTGACAGCGGTTTACTCTACGTTTGAAAAAAATACAATCAAGTTGTACTTCATTTCCACCATTTGGAAGAAAAAGGTGATTCTATCAATCGCTCAAACAGCAAGAAGTACCACTACAGTAATCAAATTTTGCTAAAAGAGGGGATCCTGCTTGTTTGTTCACAGAAACAGAAGGTGCTGGCTATGGCAGAAAAGCGAACACACAGTATGGCTGGTGTGAGGAACCTTTGGCAATGGAGTCTCAACACAGATTTGGAACAAGGCAGAACTATGCTACTAAGGAACATTCAAGAAACAGAAACCACTCCTAAGAGAACTCTGCAAGGGAAGCCCTTCCAATGTTTTAATTTATACATTTACACATAGAACCCAAAAATGAAAAAGAACTTCTGGAACCATCCTAAGTTAAATTTTTTTTAGCGGCAAAAAACTAAAAAGATGACACATTATTATTTTGAACAGATTCACATTACTTTTGGAACCTGCTATGATGCAGAAACCTGGAACTAACAGGTTAGAATGAAATGGTATTTAACTTCATGGATTTGACCCTCTGGAGATGAAGGATTCACAATTTCTTATCCTGAGACAGGAGTCCATGGAGGAACTAGCCAAAACAAAACACAGAAGAGCCTTCAGCAGCACTACAATAAGACAAACAAAACACCAGGATTTCTTCTTTCCACGCAGAGGGTTTTCATTAAATATTCATTTAATATTCAGTTTTTGTGACTTACACTTTAGAGCCCAGAGTTGTCTTTGCTGTCTGGATCAGAGGCTCAATGTTCTGTGGATCAACTGGGAAGCTGTCACTGATTTTGTCTAGATGCTCAATAGCAATGCGTGCTGCCTGCTCATAACCATCTGCTATTCTGATGGGGTGAATGCCTCGGTCCAGCAGCTGCTCAGCCTGTTCCAGTAATGCCCCAGCCAGAACTATTAAAAAAAAACCCAATTATTCTTGATTGGACCATAATTTTAAGTACATTAACAACAGATTAAAAAACACATTTTCTGATTTTTCTGCAACATTTTTACAGTTCAAGGTTTCCTAAATAACAAAAAAACATCAAAACCCCTACTTGCTTTGCTTATCAAGAAAACCACATTATGTTAAGACCAAAATGAAGCACAGGCATCAAGGCAGGACAAGGAGACTACAGAAGGAAATTATGCAAAATAAATTTTGAAAGTATCAAAGGGGCTGTCCGCACTATCTTAAAATGTAACCAAACTTCAAAAAGACACAAAAGACTTCTTCCTGATTAGAAGACTTCTCATACAAGAACTGACAGGAATACTACAACAATAAATACTCCAAAGAAGTGCTACAGAAAAGCTACTGTTATTTCTCACAGGTTTTTTTAATAGCTGAAGCAGCTTGATTTTTAACTTGAAAAAGGAAACTACACTTAAAACACCTTCTTACCAACAACTCCAGTAGTTCCATCCCCAATCTCATCATCTTGAGATTTAGCCAGCTCCACCATAAGTTTGGCTATCTGGTGATCCACATCCATCATATTCAGGATGGTAGCACCATCATTTGTCACAGTCACCTCACCATCCTTGTCCACCATCATTTTATCCAAGCCTAAAAAACATATGTTCAAAGAGTGAAGGAAAATTTTGAAAATTCCCCCACAACAAGTACTAAGAGAGAGCCAATAAAAGTTTTTCATTGTTACCATTGGGCCCAAGGGATGTTCTCAGAGTACTTGCTACAGCCTTTGCTGCCATTATGTGAGACTGTAAAACAAAGGATAACAAAGACAGAAGTTAAATCATTATCATGCATTCTGAAATCACAATATTAAGCCACAGAAAACACAGCCAGTAGCGCAAATGCTGTAATTTAATTGACAACAGCTATGACTGAAAAAGAATCAGTATGTGATTGGTCTTATGACAGAAACATTTCCCATGCCTTTTCTTGCATTGCTTGTGCTGGCTCTGCTAAAGCCTGCAAAGCACAGCAGCCAAATGACAGCCCTAACACACAAAGCAGGGAGGAAGAGAAGCCGGCAACGCTAAAAAGAGAAGGCAGTGCAATTTTACCCACCACAGAATCATCACAGGATGGTTTGGCTTGGAAGGGACCTTGAAGATCATCCAGGTCCCACCGCCTGTCAGGGGCAGGAACACCTTCCACTACACCAGGATGCTCATTCAACCTTGCCCTGAACACTGCCAGGAATGGGGCATCCACAACCTCTCTGTTCCAATGTCCGCTCCCATCTTCCGTCGGGATTTGCACCACCCACACTCAGCCCCGGCTTTCCTCCAGCGGCCGAGCTCCAGGCGGCCGTCTAGGGGAGGGGGCACTGGGGAGCGGGACAGGAGCCACGGGGAGGGTCACGGCCCACGGCGGCCACGGCCCCAAAGCCCCGCAGCTCGGGGGCGGATCCTCGCCGTGCCGCGGATTCCCAGCCCCGGGGCGACGCCTTCTCTCTTCCTCCATCTCTCTCCCGCTTACAGGCCTATTCCAGGCTCCATCCGCCTCGCCCCAGGGGTTCCATCCTCCCGCCGCTCGCGGCAGCATGGTGCGGTACAGCACAGCATGGCATGGCATGGTACAGCATGGCATGGCGCGGTACGCTGCAGCACAGCAAAGCATAGCATAGCATGGCATGGCGCGGCGCGGCCCAGCCAGCGCGGGCCCGTGGGCGGCCCCGGCAGCCGCCCCGCTCGCTCACCTTGAGCGCCTCCAGCCCCATGAGGCGCGTCTTGCGCTCCTGGTCCTTCAGGATGAGGAAGGGCCGCCCATACTCGTCAAACGCCAGAGTCCCCATGGCCGACATGGCTGCACCGCCCGCTCCGACCACCGCCGCCCGCGCGCACCGCCCGGAAGTCGCCGCGCCCGCCGCGGCACCGCGCGCCGCCCCGCGCCTGCGCGGTCGCTGCACCCGCGCCTTATTTCACGGGCGGGAGCTTTGTGGCGCCCCCGGCGGAGCCTTCTGGAAGCCGGCCGGGCGGGGGAGGAGCGCGGCCGCAGGGCCCGGCTCTCGGGGGCGGGAGCGAAGGAGGAAGCGTGTACCGAGCAGGTCGGCGGTGGGCTGCGCCGGGTGATGTGAGGGCGGAGGAGAGAAGACAGACACACGGTGGAAAAGTGTGCGCGGCGCTTCTCTCCGGAGCGCTTTCGGAAAGGTTTCGGTCCCCTGCACCTTCACAGCGCAGTGGTACTGCCCTGCCCTGTGACTGCTGCAGGCCGAGCATTAGGCTGGGTTGCTCGTTGGCGAGCTGGGGTGTGTGCTGGGTGTCGCAGTGTCCCAGGGAAAAGCTCCTCCGCGAAGGAGGAGCAGTAGCTCCAGGACGTGCTCCCGTGGCCGGAGGTGCCCCCTGCGCCGCCCTGGAGCTGCTGCCCGCCCGCCTCTGCGGGGCCAGGGCTTTATATGGGAACCGCATTCCTGCCCCCTCGTGCCTCAGCTTTTCAGCAGCTGTAGCGTTTCCTTGGGATCGCCTGAAGCGTAGGGTGGTTTCTTTTTTCATCTCTTACGTCGTAGCTCTTTGCTACAAGACACGTATTTGTCTCAAATGGGCGAAAACACTGTCTGTCCGTCCGCAGGCGCGATGTCCCAGGAGGTCCCGCAGGAGGAGGGCTCGGGCGGCTCCCGGAGGAGCGGCTGGGGCCTGCTGGTCACGGCCGGTGTGGGGGGCACCTTGGTGGCCCTCTATGCTGTGGCCACCCCCTTCGTGACCCCGGCCCTGAGGAAGGTGTGCCTGCCCTTCGTTCCTGCCACCGCCGCTCAGATCCAGAATGTGCTGAAAATGTTGGAAAACAGAAGTGGCTCCCTGGTTGACATCGGTAGCGGGGATGGCCGCATTGTAAGTTATGGATGTTGCCGCTTAAAAAAGTGCCCAAGTGCTGGGGCTGCGTTTTCTCACATTTAAAAATGTGTTGTCTTTGGCATCCGATGGTTGTGTTTGAGCCTTACAGAAAGGATCAAATCTGAGAGAGGTTTACATTCAGTTTTGATGAGTAATAAATAGTTTTTTCTGCAGTCTTACCTGTAGCTTGACCAAGGTAGTGGACAAAATGTCATTGTGGTGACTGGAGGGAATCACAGTGCGTTTGCTTGAAAAGATACAATCAGAGTCTTGGTAATGATTGACAGAGAGCTGCGATTCCACACAGAGGTGTGTAGCTGCAGCAAGTGAGGCTGTGAGATGTTTAATGTATGAAGGTGATAGAATTGCAAAAAGAACCAGGCAATGAGCGATGGATTATAAAAATAAAAATACTGATGTGGTTAGAGCTGTAGTCTTCAAACCTTTCTGCAGTGCTAGCTCCCCTACTTCCAAATCCATGTGGTGAAACTAGAATAAACACCAAGAGAAATGGTGAGAATCATGAAAGAAAAAGTGATGCTGTGTCTCCACGGTATTGCTTGAGCCCCAGTTTGTGAAATGTGGTGAGGATATAGTGGGAAATGGTGTGGTTTGGTTTTTCTTTTGTTGCTGTGATGTTTTGTGTGCTTCTTCATAACATCTGATTCAAGTCAGAGTTAGCAACATGGTGGTGGTTTTTGATGGAAACACATGTGTTCTTGAGTGCTACCTTTGTCCGTGTTTTATGTGAATAAGTCAACTATTTGTCCATGTAAAAAAAAAATTGATTTGGAACCCCAAGTCTGTGAAGATTGCTGAAATTGTGCCTGGGTAGGAAACAGACTAAGAAACTTAGGCATGAGATAACTGCAGTTTCTGATGCCCTCTCTGTTCATCATTGTGGCTGCTGACTCTCATCAGGGGTGTTTAATTTCAATAGGTACTGTGTCATTAATTCTGATAGATAGGTGCCTAAATGGAGACTGAAGACTATTTGGAAAGCCAGGTGCCTAAAAATGAATGCTTAGTGCTTTCTTGATGCATCTGTCCTGAAAAAGTGTCTTCAAATGCTTCTAATTATTTAGCACTTACTCAGATGTAGTCAGTGGATAAATGAAGATATTTACCACATTTCCAAGTGTGGTAAAAATGTCAGATTCTTTTGGTGAATTTACAAGTGCTCTGTGTGTGATGGAAGATGCATTATTTTAGCAGCATGAAATATACAGTCCAGGTAAAGCTGTTTGAGAAGTTCTGTTAAGTGTACTTTGATTTCACCTTGCTTGTTTTGAAGTTGATAGTTCATCAGGCAGTTGCTGATCAGAAGTTCACAGTAGCCTTTTAAATTTTGTCTTAAACCTTTATTCTGGAAATCAGTGCATTTTTTTTTCAATGTAGATCACAATTGCTTTCACACTCTTTCTATTGGTATGTCATTTTGGCTCTGATTCAGGGGCTGCTCAAGTGCCTATCCCTCACTGCTTTTCAAATAAGTGGTCTAATTTTGAGCATTTTTCTTGTGAGTTTCACTGTTCTCTCTGTCATCAATGTTGGTTCTCTTTAATTCCAAGACACTGTAATGAATGTGTTAAATTAAACTTTTATATGGATCATAGGCAAGCTCACAGCTTTGCCCTGTGAATGTTTGTTTTCATTTTGCTCGCCTGACTATATTTCAGTCAGGACTAGTAATAATAGTAAAATGTAGTTTTGAGGTTTTTTTTCACTATACAGCTGATCTGTTGGGCATTAAACCCAGGGTGACTTAGGAAAGTGCTTTCCTTTGATTTATATTTTAAATAAAACTGTGTGCTTCCCTTTAGGTGAATAGACTTTTATGTTTCAAAGTGAAGATTTATTTTCTTCCTTGTAGGTGATAGCAGCTGCAAAAAAGGGATTCCAGGCTGTCGGTTATGAATTGAATCCCTGGCTCGTCTGGTACTCCAGATATCGTGCCTGGAGAGATGGAGTACATCAGAACACCAAATTTTATATTTCAGACTTATGGAAGGTGGGTAGTGAATTATGTAAGAATGGATCTGGGATGATTGTGAGATTTTATAAATTTGGAAATACTTTCAGGAAAGAGCTGAAATGCAGTCTGACCAGAAGGTGCTACACTGGGCTTTGAGCAGAGTACTTGTGCTGGGAATCTTTGAGCTCAGTATGCTGTTCTGCTGCTTTTGTGCTTTATCCAAGTGCTTCCTCTGTCAATAGAGGCTCCTTGAGCAAGCCTGGGCCTGATGAATTATGCGGGAGGGTTTTTTTGGCTGTGGGGTTGTTTGTGTTCTGAGAGGAACATAGGAGAACTTCATGGCACTGAGTGAGAACTCAGTCATTAGAATGCCTAGGAAATTTTTATAGCTGGCTAACCTTTAACAAAAGAAAGGGTGAACTTAAAGCATGCATGATTTTATCATATACAGGAGTTGTGAAAATATCCTTTCTCTTATTAATAAAGTCAGGTAGGTATTTTCTAAATTAAAGCTTTCTGTGCTTCTATAATTGCTGTTCCTTATTGTTGGCCAGACAGTAGAAGTTTTTTGCTGTTCAGCAGTATAAAGTTTTCTTTACGTGGAAATTTTTGTGATGAAAAGTTGGTAAGGGATCTCCTTACGTATTTTTGGTCTAAATCCCTGTTGAAAGAAGTGCAGCTAGAGGGATTAGGAGAAAAGAATGGTGAGGATTTCTCTAACTATAAATGCCATTTTCAATAAGATTTGTTCTCAAATTTTATTTTAGGTTTCTTTTTCCCATTATAGAAATGTTGTTGTTTTTGGAGTACCTCAAATGGTAAGTTTACTATTTATTTTTTAAAATTATATTATTATATTTTATTTATTAAACCGTTTAATTATTTGTTACAATGTTTAATTATTTTAATGCCAAGGCATTCAGTGTTAATATATTAATCTGCAAAATGAATCAACTGGCAGATGGTCAAAGGTAGTCAGTAATAATTATAGAATCATGGATTATTAAGGGTTGGAAGGGACCTTAAACATCATCAAGTCCCAAGCCTCCTGTGCATGGGATACCTTCCACTAGACCAGATTGCTCAAGGCCTTACGCAACCTGGCTTTGAACACTGCCAGGGTTGGGGCATCCAGAAACTCCTTGGGCAACCTGTTCCAGTGTCTCACCACCCTCACAGTAAAGAATTTCTTCCTAATGGCTAACCTAAATTTCCCCTTTCATTTTTCCATTCTCCACTGTCCTGTCTCTACGGTTCCTGATGAAGCAACCTTCTCCAGCTTCATTAGGTGCTTCCTCCCTGTAGGCTCCCTTCTGATGCCGTTGTTGGGGCGGTCACGACACAACGAAGAGATTAGAAGTAGTTTCATTTGGTAACTCTTTAATACGAAATATGTCTGAATTTTTATACACTTTGTGATAGTTTATACTTCTTCTACTTTAACTATTGGCCACAATAAATCAACATAACACCATTGGTGAAAAGTTACAGTGACTTAACTAACTTTCTAAAAATACTCTATCTAGCTGCGAAGTTCTCGTCTTTCTTCTATTCCTCACTTCTCTTAGTGTCCTTAGTTACAGCCTTGAAGACAGCTCCTTATCAGATACTTCTTTGCTTCTTGCTCCTTCAGCTAACAGGCTCACTGTTAGCTCCTTCCACATTCTGATATTGGAAGGCTGCTGCTATGAGGTCTGCACGCAACCTTCTCTTCTCTAGTTCCAACCCCCCTGCCATGAGCAGGGACACTTTTGACTAGACCAGGTTCCTCAGAGCTCCATCTAACCTGGTTTGAACAATTCCATGGCTGGGGCATCCATGACTTCTCTGGGCAACCTGTTCCATTGCCTCACCACCCTCATATGAAGAATTTCTTCCTAATACCCAATCTAAACCTACTCTCTTTCAGTTTGAAGCCCTTCCCCCTTGTCCTGTCACTACATGTGCCTGTGGAAGGTCCCTCTCCATCTTGTAGGCTCCCTTCAGGTACTGGGGGCTGCAGTTAGGTTCCCCTGAAGCTGTCTCTTTTCTAGGCTGAACAAACCCAATTCTGTCATCCTGTGCTTCTGTATTGCTTGTTCCTTTGCTAAGGCAGGCGTGAGATGAAGTGAGCGAAAAGCTTTTTGTGATGCCATACCATACAGAGTACACTGAAAACATTTCTGCAGCAGTAACAGGAGGCATAATAAACCTTCCTATTCTGTGCTTTTTTTGTTTGCTTGTTTATTTTTTCAACGGCACCAGAAGTAAATCTCTACTTCAGATTCCAATTGTGACCCGTATTGGAAACTGAAATGGGTAGGGGTGGGAATTAGTGAGCACCAGGATATTCCTCATGCTGCCAGCCCTGGGTGCTCTTTTGCCCGAGTTCCGGCAGGGGGCACTGGGAGCGTTTGGATTTGCGGTCAGGAGTTCCATCGTTGCACCGAGGGGAAAAGTCCTGGTGAGGAAAGCTGGCTCAGTAAACTAGGAATAAACAAATGCCTTGGGAAAATGTGATGAGTAAACCCAGCAGAAGTACTGAATTAACTTTTAAACGTAATAAAGCAGGATACATTAGTAACAGCTGTGGTAGAAAGGGTAGCTGTAGGGCTCAGAATAACTTTTGTAGATCCAGTAAATACTAGATTAAATTCTTTCAGCAAAAGTACTGTCATAAATGCAACAGATGCAAACATATGAACCTCTGTATTTCCTGAGCATTTGTTTGCTTATGATCCCCTTTGAATTTACTTTGGAAGTTGTTAATGCTCAGCCTCCTGAATGACTAAATTAATTTTCTAGAAACCTTAATGCATTTTTTTTTCTTTTTTTACTGAGGAACAATAGGTCTCTTTAGCTTTTGCAATAATGCTGGCCTGATTTAATGCTTTCACACAGTGCTTTTATTTCATATCCAAGATTAGCTTTAAAAACCTGCATTTATTGATCTTCAGGGAAGACTAAGACCTCTCTTGTTCTTGCAAGCATCTGGGGGGAAGGTGTGTTTGTTTCTGACTTATTGCAGAGAGAGACGTACTTGTTCAGGGTAGGATGATGGAATTCTTGCCAGGTGTTCATGTTTGCAGCTCCTGTGTATTTTAACTGATTAAATACTGTACAAAAGGTTTACTAAAGTATGTATCTGTGTTGACACACCAAAAAATTCCCCCATACACTGGCTTCACATAAAATACAGTATGATTTGAACACCTAATGTAACTGATATATTTAGCTTAAAAACTAGTTTGACTAGTTCAAGGATATAATTCTTTTTGGCTAAACTTAGCTGAACTATTTATGATTTTTTCTAATTTGTGCTAATATGGATATGCAGTGTCACTACTTTTCATAATTGCTTCTGAAAATTAGTATATAGTCTATATTTGTGTTTTCTGTAAAATTTTTTTTCTGGTGTCTCAACTCAGTTTCAGATAACAAAATGGGCTTATTCTTCTAGGTGGTTGAAGGTGCTAGTAGGCTTATTCTAGTTGTTTAAGGCAGCCAAAATTTTAAAAAGCGTTTGCAGTGTGGATGAAATCAGAGCCTTAAAAATATCTGGAGGTAACTCTTTGGTATATTAGATCTATGACTGTAATTTTCCTAAAATATTCCATTGTTAGCTTAATGTAGCTATAATTGGATATTATATCAAAGGAACACCCTGATTGTATGTGATAGCGAAAGCGCTTTGCAGCTTTTAGAAAATACCTTTTTTTTAGTCGGTGTTATTTTCTAATAATGTTCTTTCTGGGGTTTGTTTCTTTCATCTTTTTTTGTGAAATGTTATGTATTTTTGTCTTTGTGACTTAAATTCAGCTACATTTGTTAATAACTGCTGTGCTTTTGAATGTTTTAATGTTTAAACATTACATCATGATAACCAAAGCAAATAGTGTTTTACATGTAACAGAAGTAGCCTGTAGAGTTTGCCATTAAAATTAGTCTTCCAGACAGATATAATATGTAAGAATAAAAGGAACTCCAAATGGATGTGCACTGCTAGTCTGCTTAAACTTACCCTCTAACGTTTCCAAAGGACAAAAGTGGCTAAATCTGTTAAGTTTCTTTTTTTTTTTTCCTTAGAACATAATCACTATCTGGGATAGAAAGGAAATTTCTTTTAAGTCTACATGTGTTAATTTATGTCTCACTTAGTCCGTGTTAGAATTTGCAAAGCACTTACTAGAAAAAGAGCATCTATCTGGTCAGGGTGTTGCTCTGTTCTGGAAAAGTAGTGATATTTCCCCTGACTTTCATGTCCTCTCAATTTTTGTGAATGGAGGAAAGCTGGACTGTAGGTATTCAACCAAGGAGAGCTGGTATGTGACACAGTTCCCCTCAGCATCCTGCTCTCTACACTGGGGAGAGATGGATTTGGTGGATGGATTATTCAGTGAATAAGGAGTTATCTGGATAGCTGCATTCAGAGGGTAATGGTCAATGTCTCAATGTCCAGATGAAGGTCAGTTACAATTAGTGTCCTTCAGGGGTCTGTATTAGAGCAGTCCTGCTTAATGGCTTCATCAAGAGCATAAAACAGTGGGATTGAGTGCACTCTCAGACAAGTTTGCAGATGCACCAAGCTGAGTGGTGCAGTTGATGTGTCTGAAGAACAGGATGCCATCCAGAGGGACCTGGACAAGAATTGGGCCCATGGGAATATTATGAGGTTTAACAAGCCCAAGTGCCAGGTGCTGGACCTTGGTCAGGGTAGCTCTAAGTACCAACACAGGCTGGGGAATGAACAGATGGAGAGCAGCCCTGCTGAGATGGACTTGGGGGTGCTGGTGCGTGAGAGGCTGGGCATGATCCAGCCATGGGCACTCACAGCCCAGAGAGCCAAATATGTCCTGGGCTGCATCCAAAGCAGTGTGGCCAGCAGGGGAAAGAGGGGATTCTTCCCCCTTCCTCTGCTCTGGTGGGACCCCACTTGGAATACTGCATCCAGCTCTGGGCACCCCATCACAAGAGGGATGTGGACCTGTTGGAGTGGGTTCAGAGGAGCTCCTTTCGTGAAGGCAGGCTGAGAGAATTGGGGTTATTCAGCCTGCAGAAGACTTGACTCTGGGGAGACCTTGTTGTGGCATTTCAGTACTTAAAGGGGGCTTGTAAACAAGATGGGGACAGACTTTTTTAGTAGGGCCTGTAGGGACAAGACAAGGGTGATAGTTTTAAACTAAAACAGGGCAGATTCATATTAGATATAAGTAAGAAAAATTTTACAAATACAACGGTGGAACACTGGAATGGGTTGCTCAGAGAGGCAGTAGATGGGGACTGGATGGGGCTCTGAGCACTTTAAGATGTCCCAGCCCATGGCAGGGGTGTTCAACTAGACTACCTTTAAAAGTCCCTCACAATCCAAAGCATTCCATGATTCTACATTCTCTTTCATGGAATGCTGCTGAAGGGATTCATATTCATTCATGTTAACAGGGTATGGATTCAACTAAGCTCAATTTCAATATTATTTAATGTAACAGTATTTTACCATAGAGTGACAGAAGAATGTTTGCTTTGGGTTGTTGTCTCTGTGATGTTTTGAGTGTCCCAGGATTGGTCTTGGTGTTAGACTGTAAATTTTGAGCCTTTGAGTATCATACAATAGCTCATGAACCTTGGGGTGTCATAAATAGCATAAATTCAGGGGGCTGAACTTTCACTCCCTCAGAGAAGAATTCCACTGAAGAGAATCGGGAATTGGAGCATGCAAAGTCTTTGCCCAGCACTTTTAGTTTAATTTTTTTTTGTTTTTAATTTAAGGGATAATTTATGTGTTTTGATTTAATTTGAATTTGAAAAAAAAAAAACATTTTCTGGTTTTAGCTATTCTTTGTCAAGGCATCAAAGCCACAATATCTATTACAAATACTTTCCTAAGATTTAAAAAAAAAAATAAATTACTCAAATCTTGGATTTCTCTGAAACACCTGAATTAGATTCTACAGAGAATGCTCCTGTTTTTTACTGTTTCTGAGAGGTTTTTCTTGTAACTCAACAGATGCCACAGCTGGAGAAGAAGCTGGAAGAAGAACTTGACTGTAATGCCAGAATCATTGCCTGTCGCTTTCCTTTCCCTTGCTGGATTCCAGATCATACTACTGGAGAGGGAATAGACACTGTGTGGGCCTATGATTTGAAACTTTCTAGAGGATTTGAAACAAAAAGCTTGGAAATTACACCAGAGACAGAATCTTAAACATTGAGTTTGGTTTCTTACAGAAATTTTTAGCTTTGACTGGACCTCTTGAAGATAAGATTAACATGGAGAGAGCCCTGGCATATGAAGATGTGTGTTCACTATAAGAACTGAAGTACATTGGCTGTCTGAAAACATAAAGGTTACTGCAAGGTGTAGTTAAATGGCTTAATATGATGTCCTGGTTTAACTCCATCTAGCAGTGGAGTACCACACAAATGTTCGTTCGCTCACCCTAGTCTGCAGACTTCCCCAGTGGCATGGGAAAGAGAACTGAAAAAAAGGTCGTACCCATGACCATGGACTGAGATAGGAATAGTTTAATAATTGAAATGAATTTACTACTGATAACAACAACAACAACAAGAAGAGAGGAGTAAAACCCAAGAAAGATGAGTGATGCGCAATACCCTTGCTCACCACCCACTGATGGATGCCCACCCCATCCCAGAGCAGTGACTGCCAGCTCTCCCCAATTTATATACTGGACATGATGTTCTATGGTGTGGAATATCCCTTTGGCCAGTTCTGCTCAGCTGTCCTGGCCAGGCTTCCTCCTGGCTTCTTGCACACCTCGTAGTTGGCAGAACATGAGAATCTAAAAAGTCCTTGGCTTGGAGTAAGCACTGCTCAGCATCAACTAAAACCATCAGTGTATTATCAGCATTAGTCTTTTCTAAATCCAAACCAGAGTGCTGTACCAGCTAATAGGAAGAAAATCAACTCCCAGCTGAAAGCAGAATATGTTGTTAGTAAAAATTATGAAAAAGTTTTTATAGAAGAGGAAAACTTCAGTATGGAAAAGGGTTTAGAACACCATTCACTACAGTTAAGGGGAATATATGTATGAGTTCAAATGCTCAAATTTGTGAACTTAATATATATTCTTTCTGACCCTAGAGCATTTGGTATTGGTGTTGGAATGATGTGCAAGTGTCTTCTCAAATGAGCTGTATTTCCAAACTGTCTGAATTTTTTATGCCAAGTACATAGTGCTGCATACACAAAACTGGTCCAGATGGAGTATGATGATGACACCAATGTTTCACATGACGGCCTTGAATGTGTACTTTTAAAAGTATGAAAAATGGGCAAATATTAGAAGTTGTTTGTACATTAATACAAATGCTGCCTTTGATTATATTAATTTTTTTTTTTTAATTTAACTTGTGTTCTGTTTTAGCATCTGCTGGAAAATAAACTCCAAGTAAGTTGGAGAAACTTACTTGAAGTAAGTTACTCCAAGTAAGCCACTCCCCTTCTCCTTTACCTCTTTCAGTTAAGGGAGGGGCAAAAGCAGAAATTGTGGGTTGAGGTAGCAATTTACTGAAAGCACAAAGCAAGAATAAGACATGGCACAGTAACAACAGCAATATAAATAGTAAAAGGATACAAAAAGAAGGTATTTTAATTACAAAAATACACGTTCACCTGTTGAGGTGAACACTCCATGTGTGGAGAATCATGGCTACATTCACCACTGGGAACAAGAATAGTAGACTGTGTCCTCAGACAGAAGTAGCATGATGGCTGGACAGGCAAAATGGCCAACTCCCAGTGGAACACCAGGGTTTTCCTTTGGAAACCATGCCCTCCGCTGATGGCATGTATGGTGCAGAATAACAACCTGGTCACAGTGCTAACTAAGCTCTGACCCCTTTGTACAACTTGTTACAAGAGCACAAAACTGCAGGAGGATGCCCTTACTGAACTCCAACTGGTGAAGGCTGTTGCACATGACCATAAATTTTCCTAATCTTTCTGATTCAGGAAGGGTTTCAAAAGTCTTACTTCTCAGTGAAGTGCCACCATTTCTCCCTGCTCAAACTTCAGATAAAGATACGGATGAGAGTTGTTCACTTGAAAGCTGTCTCTGATTGCAGGGCTAGTTGTTCTGGCTAGTTTGGTTAAATCTGATTCAACTTCATTTAATTGATAGTGAGATGAGAAGGAAAGTTTTCAATCAGACTTGTTTTCCCTTTTTTCATACATCTGATAAGATCTCAGAAACTCATGGTATCACTGTGTGGCTTTTCCTTTTAAGTGAAGCAAGTTCTCCCTGTCCTTTTGCTGATACTGGTTAGCAGTGGAATACTGTCACTGCATTGATGTTTTCCTTTGCTGTCACAGTTACAACACCTTTCTGTTCCATTGTGGTCTGCTTACTTGTTCTATTTATCTGGTTATCAGGTAAAATTTTACTGTTTTCACCCATTAGCAATTAGTCAAAGCTCAGTCAGCCTCCTCTAGGTCCCAGTTAGTGTACAGCCTGTTTGTTAAGCAGTAACTGTGTAAGTTTGTCAGATCTTTGCATGTAGGTTACTCATGGAAAGAAGCTAAAACAAACTGGGCAATTATCACCTGACTTCAAGGCATGTCACCGTGTCCTCTTAGTGTCCACTTGGCCACTCCCGACCAGCTCGGACACAGTGGATGGCAGGGGACACTCCTGTGCCTTGTGGTACAGGAGGGCAGCTAGGGTTGTTAGCCCTATGGCAGAGGAGATGCTGCAGACAACGGCAGAGGAAGAAGGAGCCTCTTGGCAGGGGTGCAATCCAAGGTTTATTCCAGAACTCCAAGGAGCTTGGCACCTCAGGATGACCAGCTGTGAAAAGCCCAGACTGAGCTGCGATAAAAACTTTTAAAGGGGGGTGGAAATGAGGGAGGGATTCACACATCAGCCAGTGGGGGAACTTGGGGGTGCGGAAACCGGCGAGATAGGCATGAGGGGCTGTGAACTGGGACGCACTTGCAGGGAGCGCCCTGGCCTTTGGACAATCACTCAACACCCCTGATGGAAAGTTCTGGACAGAGGGGGTGGGAGGCTGAGTGACTGATAGAGGTCCAGGGAGGAGATTGGGAAATGGCTCAGCAAAACTCAGGGTGGTAGGTGGAGAGTAGGGAGGATTGAGATGGGGGAGGAGGGAAAAAACTTGGGGTAAACTATTAGGAGTGAACAGGGGTACAAAGACAAAACCATTACAAACAGAAACAAGGGTAATATAAAACCACAATGCAACAAAGGCAGTCATTACCACAACTAAAATTAGTTCAGTCCAAGAGAAGTGTTGAGACCCTAGAATTTGAGGGAAAAACAAAGTCTGACATTTTATCAGGTGTTGGGAAAGCAAATTTGGCTGTTCTGTAGAATCTGACTTGAAGAGAGGTTGGGTGCTATTTGGGATGTGTAGTCTACAGTGATGTCTGTACCCATCACTTTTTGTTTTTGATGTGAGGGGACAGGAAGAAGTTAAAATATAAACCTACACTGGGGATTTGAAATGGAGCATGGTTTTGTCCTGAAAATGTACACAAAACAGGAGAAGACAGGGGCAAATGTGTCTGTAGTGTGCAAAGGAGAGGTGATTTCAACCTTGCATGGCAAGGCACAGCTGCGAACATGGAGGGTGTGTGTACTGAAGAACACTAGTGTCTGGTAAGCAGTTTGACAGCCTGCTACACGAGTGCATAAACTAGCTTATAAAATTGCACTAAATGCTTTCTATAATGATTTAAGTGTTTCAGTCATTACATGGAGATAGAGTGACAGGATAGGGATAGAGTGACTTATCTGAAATGCCGGAATTTAATATCCCAAGGCCATAAAACTGGCATCTCAGACAAAGTACATCTGAAATAATTTCTAACTAAAAGAGACTAGCAAAGGGGAAATTAGCTAATTAAGCAAAGTTCTTCCCTGAATGATCATAAAGGAGAAGAGGAGGCAAAATATTTTGATCCATTGAATTGTGTGTGGCTCATCTGCAGTGCAGTGCTTTGACCCAGGTTTCTACAATCTTCTTTCACTAAATGTAGTTTGTAGGAGATGAAGCAGTTATTTACTTTTCTCCTGTGTTTGACTATGTATTTTTCTATTGCATTAACCTTTGCCTGTTAAAATGTAAAACTGAATTTCCCATTTTTGTCTGTGGTAAAAGTTTTGGGATGTGCACTTCCTAGTTACCACCTATTGCTCCAGAAATACTTTTTGAGGAGGGCACAATAGAATTAATGATATGATGACCTGAGCTTTAGGAGTACTAAGTGCTGTCCTCCAGGCAAGGAGAGATTTATGATTGTTTTAAAGTAAAGCAGAGGGCTGTTCCTTGCTCTAGCTATTTACTTTTGGGGGCCTACACTGAATTAGGCAGTAGTCTGAAGGTTTGGGATTCCTTATGATATAAGGAAATGTTCTGTATTTCCTGTTTCCACAGCTTAAGTGTGAAATGGAAAGCAAAGTGTTCTAATTTGCACAGGAGGACTGGGAAATAAGTTTGTTGACATACTGTCCTTTTCTATCACTTGCTATATTCATTTGATAGTTTTCGAGATTAAATACTTAACTGTGACTTCAGTTATCACTGTATGGATGATTATGTTGATACACTTCCAATTGCTAAGGTAATGTATTATGATTTTGTTGATATGATACTTCAGAATGAAAACTTGTTTCTTCTGAAAACTAGGAAAGAGAATTACCATAATCAAATTACAGTGTAGGTCTGAAGCCAAAAGGAGGCAACATTCAAGCTACGTATGCTGTTCAATACCAAAGTAATTTAGATACACAGAAAAAACTATAGTTTATCTTTGTTTGTATCTTCTAGTAGAATCAATTGCTTTTTGGGAGTTGTGCTATTTTTTCCTTGACCTGTCAGATTTTAGCAAAAAAAGGTGTTACATTACTGAATGACTAATGCTTTCCTGAAATACTGTAGAATTTAATTTGTTTGTAAATAGTAAAGGTCAGGGTCATACTTACAAATGTTTTCTTTCTTCTTCCTCCCCCCCCCCCTTTTTTTTTTTTTTTTAGTGAGACACATTATGTCCATACAGGTTTTGTGATGCAAGATGAATTGAACAAATGCAGCATCTTAGTGGTGCGATTCTAATTTTGTAGTGTTCCATTTCCATTTTGCAGAAATTGGCTTTGAAGGAGTCAGGTATGGCTCATGGCAAGACAGCTATGAGATAAGCTTTCTCAGTAAACTGCACAGTCACTACAGCCACACAGCAGTGTCAACCAAATGTGACCAGATTTGTTTGGGAATTGTACACTTATTTTGTGGGTTTTAGGCATTTCTGTATTACTGAGCATATTGCAGTTCTTGATTTATCCTCTGGTCTGATTATATGCTGCTACTTAATCTAGTACTGCTCCAAGCAAGTTAATCCTCTGTCTCTGAGCTGCTGTTTGTTTCTGACTCATGAGTTGTAGCCAGGTAAGAAGATAGAGAATCCAGTTTCAAATTAAGCACAAGCCAGTTGAGTGAATATGGTCTGTGGAAAAAAGAGTTCCAAATCCCAGGCTTTGGGGAAGTCTTTTACCTTTCATGAAGGACACAGCTCAGAAAACAGCAGAGTTCTCCTGAATTCTGCATAATTTAACAATGACTTCAGTTTTGCTTTTACCATCTGTGTGTTCTTCAAGAAGTTTGACTGCTGTAATACCATTGTAAGATCTGTAGAAGTAAGCAAAGGCAGCATATTGGTTACCATTTATATTTGGAGCTGAGGGAGGAAAGGAGAAAGGGGATCTTATAGCCCAAGTAGGGCAATGGATTTTGAGCTATTAGAAAAGCAGTTTGACAGATTTGCATCATCTGTGTGTACTCACTGCACTGGAGAATCCATGCCACGACTGGGCTGTGATGAGCATTCACTCAGAAGTGGGTTCATGTCTGATGCCATTGCTCTTGGATGAACACTACATATTGATAGATGGCCTCATACATCTACAGTTTCACTGTCCATGGTTTACAATTACTGAAGCGTTTATTCAAGAAAGAATGTGAGTCCTTCAAATTCGTAGTTGAATTTTGGATTGTCCTGTATGGGGCCAGGAGTTGGACTTCAACGATCCTTGTGGGTCTCTTCCAGCTTAGGATGTTCAATGGTTCTGTGATTGAAGAGGGCAGCCTAACATCAGATTTAATGCCAGTAAATTCTGCTGTGAGTGGGTTATTTTTCTTTTACATCTGCCAAGATTGCAGTTCTGTAGTTTTAAAATGTAGCCCCCACTTGCTTTTCAGAAATAATATACATTTCTTCTAGAAGATTTCTTGAATTCTTGGTAAGACAGTGTGGCATCTATGTTTAACTTAAAAACCACCCTTGAGCAAGATTAATGAAAATATTAATTCTGCAGCTTTTTTTTTTGAATGATTATCTTTCTGTTAATCCTTGTACATTTTACGGGGGGAGACATATGTGGATACCTACCACTTTCCCCCCATTCTTTTCCTGAAT